GTAAATCTTTGAATATGTTCATCTTTGAGTTTGTTTCTCTTAACAAAATCATCTTTGGGTCTATTTCTTTAAAAACAAATGTTGTCTCTCTTGAGACAGTTTCTAATGAAAAACTAACTTTTGAGATTGTTTCATTTGAAACAAATTTGGTCTCACTTAAGATGTGATCCATCTTTGAGTCTGTTTCTTTTGAAACAAAATTTTATCTCTTAAAGACAATTTCTTATGAAAAAAAATCTTTGAGTTTATTTATTTTGAAACAAAATTTTGTCTCTCGAGACAACTTCTTTTGAAAATACCCACCTTTGAGATCGTTTCTATTAAAACAAATTTTGTCTCGCATGAGACAGTTTCCTTTCAATGACATCTTTGAGTCGTGTCCCTTCAAACGAATTTTGTCTCTTGAAACATTTTCTCTTAAAACAAGATCATCTTTGAGTTTGTTTCTCTGGAAACAAGGTTTTATCCCTTAAAACAGTTTCTTTTGAAGAAAAATCTGAGTCTGTTTCTTTGGAAACAAAATTTTGTCTCACTAAGATACAATTTTCTGAAAAACAAAGTTTTGTCTCTTATGAAAATGTTTTTTTTTAAAAAAAAAATCATTGAATCTCTTTCTTTGGAAACAAAATTTTGTTTCTCTCGAGACAGTTTCTTTGAGAAAAATCTTTGCGTTTGTTTCTTTGGAAAACAAAATTTACCATCATTGAATTTGTTTCCCTTGAAACAAAACAAACATCTTTGAGATCGTTTCCCTTGAAATGAATTTTGTCTCATTTGAGACAGTTTCCCATGAAACACAGATATTTGAGAACGTTTCCCTTAAAAACAAATTTTATCTCGCTTGAGACAATTCCCTTTAAACGTCATCTTTTGAGTTGTTTCATTTGAAATGAATTTTGTCTCTTTCGAGACAGTTGCTTTTGAAACACATTATCTTTGAGCTTGTTTTTCTTGAAACAAATCTTTGAGTCTGTTTCTTTTGAAACAAATCTTTAATTTGGTTTCTCTTGAAACCATAACTCCTAAAGATGGCCAGCCGTCTTCATCATGTAGGAACCGTGTCATCCCCAGACCAGATCTCCTCATCACGTAGGAGCCGTGTCAACCATAGATAACCAGCCGTCCTCATCACGTAGGAACCGTGTTATCACCTTTAGATGGCCAGAACTCTTCATCACGTATGAGCCGTGTCATCCCCTGACCAGATTTCCTCATCACGTAGGAACCGGGTCACCCTTAGATAACCAGTAGTCCTCATCACGTAGGAACCGTGTTATCACCTTGAGATGGCCAAGAACTCTTCATCATGTATGAGTAGTGTCATCCTTCGACCAGATGTCTTCATCACGTAGGAACCGAGTCACCCTTAGTCGACCCGAACTCTTCATCACGTATGAGCAGTGTCGCCCCTACCAACAAACAAGTATCCAATTTTTAGGTCAAAAGAAAGAGAACCAGCCAAAAACGTGTTGTATTGTCGTCTTTGCCCTATTCTTGCTAACACAAGAATGTACAAAGAGGGGCAGCTGTAGACACCCGTTTTTGTCCGGGTCTTTTTTATTATTATTATTTATATATTTATTATTATTATTTTTATATTTATATTATTATTTTATTAATATTATATTTTTACATATTTTGGCAGGCCAAAGCCCATTACAACCGGCCCAAACAGTTGACCCAACATTGCTAGGGTTTCACCCTATCTCCCCAGCCGCCTCCAACATCTACCGTCAGATCTGGAGGATGATGAACGGCCCAGATCGCCCCAGGTTAGGGTTTTAAACCCTGAACATATCATCATCCAGCCGCCGCCGCCTTCGATGTTCCAGCTTCCCAGAGAAGCGTGAGCCGCGCCGTTGACAACCAACCGCCACAGCTGTTTGGCCTTCCATCTCCCAGCCATGCTTGAGCCGCCGATGGTGAATCCCGAGCCGGTTGTCATCAGCAATCTGGTCACACAGTGAAGCAAATGTCATCAACAGTGTATCAAATTTACCCCAAGTCTGAAAACCCCAAAATAAAATATAACCTAAGTCCCGATTTTTACAGGATTTTATCCTGCAAAATCAGTGAGACCCATACCTCTATTCTAGATATCATCATCATCAAATCCATCACAAAAAAGGAAATAAAGGGAGAACGAAAAAGAGGAGGATTCATTCGGTTTTTCCAGAAAAGAGAGAAAAAAAAAGAAAAGAAAAATACCCATTCGAACCAACAACTAAAAAAAATAGAGTGAAAGGGTCCTTACCTTGGTCAGAACTCGTCGAGAAGCCTACGGGTCGCCGGCGTTTCGTCGTTTCGAGAGGTAACCCTTTTAGATCTGAGGCTCTAAGGGTGTTTATAGGGTAAAACGTGTTCAGGTTTCGAGTTGAGGGTGGAGAGAGGAAGATTTTGGTGATTTTATCTCTCCGGTCACCGTGGGCAGCCGTGCTCCGCCGTGAGGCGCCACCGGCGGTGAGGGTTTTTTTCTTTCTCCGTTGGGGGAGTTGAGAGAGTTTAAAACTCTCTAACTCCCCTCTGTTTTTTGAAGAGAGGCAAATGAGGGAGATGAGAGTTGAAGCCTCATTTTGGGCTTAAGTACTCGGGTCAGAACGGTGCCGTTTTGGCACTGTTCAAAACGACGTCGTTTAGAGGGGTCAGGGCATGCGTGTTATCAACGTGTGGATTAACTACACGTTTAGTCCCCCGGGCTTTGTAATATTTTTGTTTAATCATGATGAAATGTTTTGCTTTATTCTATTTTAAGTACTTATTTTTCTATATTTATTTGTTAGTCCTATTAGTATGGTTATATTATTTTTTGTAAATGTTTAATTCTGGGAACAATGTTTGTAATTATTTCATTTTGGTTACTGATCTGGTGTTTTGTGTATTGTTATGGATATTTGAATTTGGGCATAATATTTTTAATTTTATTATTTTAGTCATTATTTACTATATAAAATAAATACATGTTTTATTTATGTTTATAATCCCTGTACTTTGATTCTGATGTGTTTTGGGCACTGCTTTTATATTGGGTTAAATACTAATATGGCTTGCATGTTTTACTTTCATTTTATTTTAGTCCTTAATAATATTTTTGGGTTATTTTGGTTTCTAGTACTTGTATTTTAATGTTTTATATTTGGGCTCTGTTTGTTTCGTAATTACTGTTTAGTCCTTTAAATTTATGTTTTTCTTATTTTAGTCCTTTAAGTTTATGTTTGTGCTATTTACATCCCTTTAGTTGTTGTGTTTTCTTTTTTTTAGCCCCTAAGTTTATGTAATTACTATTTTAGTCCTCCATTTTTTTTATTTTTGTTGTTTTAGCTCTTTAAGTTGTTATTACCATGTTAGTCATTGTTATTATAAATATTTACTTTTTAATCATTTTATTTGGTAATTTTAATATTGATTTGTGTTTATGTCAATTCCTTTTGTATGTACTTTTTTATGTTATGTATTTATTTATATCATATGTGAATTAATATGTTTAACTTTATTTGTTAAATATTTTGTTTCGTATATTTTATTTATATTGACTCCCATTGTATTTCTTTATTTAAATATTGCGATTATTTTCAAGAAAATCGATTTATAGAATGGGCGTGGAAAGCACCACTTGATCGAAGTGATGTAATCCAATATGACATTCAAACCAAATGCGAACTTGAAATAAATCAATTGTATTTTGCTAATTATTAATTCATTTCATTTTAAGTTGAACATTGCAAGGAATGTCTCTTAATAATAGTTTATTTCATTTCATGCAAATTATCGATCTTCATTCTACATTTTATATTCGATTCATTTTTTAGTTAATCAATTTATTTTGTTGTATGTAAACATCGATTTTTCTATATTCAATTCGCATTTTAAATGAATGATGAGAGAATATTCTTTAAAGACAAGAAATAGTCGAGTTAACTTTTTCGATGGAAGATTGCTAATTTCGATATTTCTTTTCGAATTAAAGAATTTTCCCTAACATTAATTAACTCGAAGAAAATTAATTATATTTCAATAAATGGATCACATTTTAACTTTATATTCGATTCGTAATTTCCACCATTACGACAATGTGTAAGCGACACAGTACCAATTTTGGGCGTTGTAGGGGTGTTTATCCTTCCCCACACGTAACCGACTCCCGAACCTGTTTTAAATGAATCTTTGGTAACGTAGATCAAATTTTTTGTCTTATAAAACTATTTTTCTTAAAATGGTTTTTAAAAGACGTTTTTAGGTATTCGACCTACCTAACCTAAAGGTCGATGGCGACTCATTTTCAATTTAATTTTAATTAATCCATAATCACCAATTTTTCCAAAATTAAAGTCAGAATTGTTTTTAAAAAATAATATTAAATAATTGTTTTTATAAAAAATGGTTATGACAATATATATTTGTAATTCCTAAAGTTTTATAAGTTTAACCTCATAGAACAGGGAGGGAGCCAATAAGGAGGTGGGAGGGGCTGCTGTCCCCTCTAAAATTTTTGGTGTTATAGCATTTTAGATCATTTTAAGTTTAAATATTAGTTAAATAAGACTTTTGTCTCCTTTCAATTTTTATATTTAAATACTTTGTTCTTTCATTGTAAAGAAAATTAGGCCCACCCAATGTTTAATCCTACTTCTGTCCTGCTTTAGCATAGAATCTTATCTTGGTCTCTCTCTGAATATAGTGCAGATAGGTATATATGATCGGTTAAAGACCAAAAGTAGTTCAAAGTTTTTGCATATGGGAAAGTAGAAATTTGCTATAATCAAGGGGGATTAGGTAGAAATACTAGAAAATGCAAAGCGTGAATTCACGATTTGGCTTAACAACAAAAATGATCTCTAGTTCCAGGCATATACATCCTATTTTAATTTGCCACATGGGAAACAAATTAGCTGAGCTGTACTGAATTTTGTATATTTATATATGCCATGGGGCCCCAGCCTTCTTTAATTCTTGCTTTCCTTGCATGATTATGAATTTTCTTGGGGAATTAAGAGTCGTATAATACCTCTAGAGACCACTATTGTATATGCCATTCACTCTGAAATTCTCTCTTTTAAGTCTACTTTACTTACAACCAGGCCTATAATCTCTCATGGAATTGGACAGAGATATCAACATCGAGAATGATGCTTCTCGTAGTTCTAAAAACTTGCTTAGCTCTTCTTCCGTCGTCTCTACCACCACCACCACGACCGCCACCTCTTCTTCTTCCTCTTCCTCTTCCGCTTCCACAACATTCTCGTGTGTAGCTGATAAAAGGTCAAAGAAAGCTGGAGACATGGAAAATGATAACGAGAACAAGAAAAGACAAAGGAGTGGTGGTAATAATGATAGCAAGCTTGCGACATACCGTGGGGTGCGTATGCGAAGCTGGGGTAAATGGGTTTCTGAAATTCGAGAACCGAGGAAGAAATCGAGAATATGGCTTGGGACATACCCGACAGCCGAAATGGCTGCTCGTGCTCATGATGTAGCTGCGCTTGCCATCAAGGGTAGCTCGGCTTACCTTAACTTCCCTGAACTTGAAAAGAAGCTTCCACGCCCTGTCAGTACGTCTCCCAAGGACATCCAAGCAGCCGCATCGGAAGCAGCCGCCGCGACATTTCTCGAGACAAAACACTGCAGCATCGAGGCCAGAACTGAAGCTGGACTAAGCCAAGAAGAACTTCCTGTTTCGCATTTATCCAACAACATACTCGAGTCATCAAGTTCACCCTCCATTAATGATGACGATTCGTTGTTTGATCTGCCCGATCTCATGACCGGTGCCATGGACAGAAGCGACGGATTCTGCTCTTATTCTTCATCAGCATGGCAAATATGTGAAGTCGATTCTAGGTTCCGGATCGAGGAGCCATTCTCCTGGGATTACTACTAGAAGGTCACATCATCTCAGTAAATGTAATCATTTTCATGGTCAATATCTCTAACTTTGAAAATCATTCATCTCTTCACACAAATAATATTCCAGCTTTCTTTTGAATAGCCAAATTTGTGTCTTTTCTACTTTAGTTCAGAGAGTTAAAAAAGGTTAAATCTCCACTGTAATATACATGGAATTAAGTGTATACTTCAACCCAACTTTTGTTCTTTGTTCTAATTGTTTACCAAAAACGATAAATTCTACTTTTCAACTTCACTGCAGTAAAAGCTCGTATGAGCAAGTATCCATGCAGCAAATACCTCATTAAAAATCAACAACAAAAATGCCTTATTGCAATGGAACTTTCCACTCAACTGACTTTAAAGACTAAAGTGATAAACTAAAGTTATATGTCTGAACAAAAAAGAAAAAGATAACATGTCTGTCTATAGGTTGGAAAAAACATCCAAACCCAAATTCATCGTATGGTGAATGTTATCCAGGCAAAATCATGTTCTTTCTCTTAAATGGAATTGGTGAGAAGGTGATGGTGTTGCCCAACATCGTCACTTTTTCTTTCCAACATTTATCTAAAAGAAACCAAAGGGAGATTCCCAAACAAAGTGAAAGCATAATCTAGCTAATGTTTTTCTCAAAGTTGAAAAAATCGAATTTTCGAATCTATTGAGTGGTCTCAATTGTTAAAGGGACTGTTATTTCTCATTAAAATTATTGATTCGAATAACTGCATCCGTAAAGTGTATACATTGTTAATTATTACAAAAAAATCACCCCATGCTATTAAAATAATTCATATTTTAAGTTAAATATTGAAATTTGGCAAAAACAAAGGGTGTGTTATTGTGGCGAAGTATAGGGCAACAATACCCCAAAAGATAAAGACTATTTTGTAAGTGGCAAATGACACATCAGCGTCATTATCTCCTTATATTCTATTTCCCGTCATATAATTAGGATATAATTAAGCGAAAGTTTGGGCAGAAGAGACGAAATATAGGGTAAACAGTCTCATAAATTAATAGACCCACCAAGTACCTAATAATTTGGGTTAAATTTTTGTCTTTAGGTAGAATTATTGGGAACTGGGTTCGCTCTTTCTTTATTATAGAAACGTTCAGTAATACAAATAAAATGCAACGCCACAAAAAGACAATAATATAGAAGTTAACCACCTTGGAATCTTACGACTCCCGAGGAAGAATTTTTTAGCACTAATATTTATTAAAAAACATGTTTAACGTATTATTATTTTATTAAAAATAAATAAATACAAATTGTTATTTAACGAGTCCTAGGAGACTTTTATTGAAAACAGCTCGAACTTTTTAGTGTCACGTATCAACAGCAAGAACTTTCATAATTCGGAGGTTTCCTACGGAAGCTGTTCACAACCTAATGTTGGGGACAGCCTACTATCTTACCTCTCCTTACCCCATTATATATGGAAACAAAGGACATTCATTTATTATTAGTGGAGTAAAATAAAAATGTCACTTATTCTCCTATTTACACCTTGAAAATTTGATATAGGTGACAATTTGGCGTACGTTTCATTAGTTGTGAGCCAGATGTACATACTTTGTAATTTTCTCAACATCTTTTCACCTTGGGGAAACACATGATGGGGATGGTAAGCTATATGTTAACTAGAAAGTTGATGTTTATACGCTTCCATCACAACGCTACCTAAGCATTTTCATTTCAATCAAATTAAACACTTCATATTTTAAGAAAATGGTATTTTTTAATAAATGACTCGAATAATTAATGTAATTAGTGTTAACTTTGGTAAACAATTAACATCTTTATACCATTATATATTTTGAATTTAAATTTTAACAGGTCTAGGATATGATTAATAAATTCGTGCATGAACTAAATCCAAATATATAAAAAAATGTAAACATAAGAAAATCAAATTAGCCGCCTAAGGAATAAAACCATGCCGGATGAAGTAATATTAAAAACGTTGTTTTTCTAAAACCAAATCCAATATTGAAAAGCTTTCTATATCACATTCAATGGGGTTACCAAATATTCTTCTAACGTTTTTGGATTTTTGAACCGATAGTTTTTAAAATTTGAAGGTCGACAAATTCTTTAAACGAACATTTCCTAGATTGAATAATAATCCGTTTCGAGAATTTATTGATAACTAAGTGAAATGAAACGTGAATGACCAAATTGAATGAAAATAAGAATGCGAAGCCCTAAACTTTAATTAGTGAAATTTGTTGGAAATGTGTCATTTCTTTTTTTAATTAATCACTTATATATGATCTATTGACTGACTAATTCAGATCGGGTACTGTAGAGGCAAGAGCGACACTCCCAACCCAGTTTGCTTCTTTTACAAACGCCAATGATTGAACTCTTGACATTGCTTAAAGAATCTAGTGTCCCATTCCACTAAACCAATTGGTTGTTGGTGAAAATCAGTCACTTTAGGAAGGTTTTTGTATATTAAAATTATATGCCTAATTATTTTATATACTAAATAAATATATGTAAATGTTAAAAGTTGAAAACACCATCCTTAGAAAACCTGAACTTAACCCAACGAATCCAAATTGCCCTAATCCCCATTTCTCCATCAATTGTTCATCTTCTCCACAACACTCAAAAACATTATTGATGAACCCTTATATTTTTAGAGAGAGAAAGTCCAAATTCAAAGAAAATTCTTTAGTGCACGTGTAATCTAAATACATATTTAGAAAGCTTGTGAGCCAAGCTTCAATTTGATGGAACTAGGTTTGAATTCCAAATTAGTGTTTACGCATATTCATTTTGAGATTTGATTATAAAATTAGTGTTGGATTATGTCATTAATGTGTTTGAATGTGTATTTAAAGTTCAAGAGATGGTAGGAACTTCCAAAGTTAGTGGAAATAGAAAGTCGTCGTGTAATCGATAATCCAAGACATATAGTAAGTTTAGATCATGTGATTGTAATCATAGTTGTTTCTATTGTTGTGTATTTGTGTTATGATGCCATATGTGTATGTAAATTACTTAAAAATGTGCTTAATTATGAAAATCAATAATAAAAAAATGGAGCTTCGATTAACATGGAAAGTGATAAGGTAGTTCATATGTGTTTTGACTATGAATTTAGTGTTTTGATCATGTAAGCCTGTTGATAAGTGTTGAAAATAAAAATCTTATATTGCTAATTGCTATAAGCGTGATGTCAGTAAAGAGGAGATCCATGTATATATCATAGTTATCCTTTTTTGATGTGGAGGTGCTAGATTTACATATTCCCTTTTTGAAATGAATCAAGTGTTAAATGTGATGGTTATGATAATGATGCCATGTATATTGATGCTATGTGCTAAACCAATATGCTGTGATTTAAATGTATGCTTATATGTGTCATATGTTATGCATCGAAAAGGGGTGCATTCGGTTCGGTCTAGTTTGACTTTTTAATAAGACATGAATTGAATCACATTTTGCAGGTTTTTAAAAATTGAAATCGAAACTTAAACCGAATGGCATAAAAACTACGGTTTTTTTATTTGGTTTGGTTCTGTTCGATCGGTTTTTGACTGTCCACTACTTTTTAAACGCAACATCCAAATAAAGCAAACTGAAATTTTGAATTGAGTACAAATATATAAATTTAAATCCATAAAAATATTATTAGATTTACGATTTATTTATTTAAGTTTGTCTTATAATAAATTCAAAATAAATTTGTTTTAGATAATTATTTTCTTTTATTTTTCTAATTCGGTTTGATTTGGACAAACAGTTTCCATATGGAAAAACTGAAATTGAATCAAATTGTATCATTATATTTTTAAACTGAACTGAAACCAAATCAAAAAATAAAAATTCGAACCAATTCGCGTAGCTCAGTTCGGATCGATTTTTTGATTTTCTCGATTTCATTGCCCAACCCTAATATCGAGTAACAACTATTTCATTGATTTTTCTAAAATTCATTTTGTGTGTTTAATGTCTTCACATGAGATAGGTTTGGATAGAAGTTGATTCATATCACATTTTTGAAGTCACAAATCTCTTCAATCACCTTTAAAATGTAATCCTTTTGTTCCGAAACTCTTACAGTTTGTGACATGTAAATGTGGTATTTTGTGTGTGTTTAGCATGGTGTCATGTGTTCATATCTCATTTTGAAAATCTTATTGTATGTAAGTTATGATCATAAGGTGTATATCTCAGATTATTTATGTGCATGTATATGTTAAAATATGTTTATCATGATAGTGATTAGTTAAGTTCCTAGTGACGAGATATATATATAACTAATGTATTTATAATTAGCATTGTTTTACAGGCATCTGATCTCCAGTTTAAGTTGCAGATCTTTATAAGCTGGAATATTAGGTCCCCAGCAGTATATGCGTACTAGACTAAATCGGGATTATTTAAAAATTAGTGGCAATCATTTCAACATATGGCCGACATCAACTTACTAGCAAATCTTTATATTAATATACGTCTTGTTACGATCATACACAGTTTGTATATATTAAGAACAACTCTTTTTTACTCGCCAGGCTACTAGCTAGCCAGTAATATGTTGGTCGTAGCACCAAAATAGTAAAGTGTAATGGGACCAACTATCAATGTGTCCAACTGTGAGTTTTTAGCTAAGTTTCTAGGGGTCCACATAAGCATGCTTTTGCTGCTTCGGACACTAAAGGTGCAAACAATTTGGGGTAATTCTGCATCTAATTTAAGAGTAAGAAAAGACGTAACTAAAAATATTAAATTTTTTTAACTTTGAAGATTTTATCGTCCTACAGAGAGACAAGTAATAAATTAAAGGTGTAATGATAAAATTAGCTCCTCAATATTTGTTTGAATAATCATTTTGGTCTCTATTTTTTTAAACACTTTAATTTTAAGCATTTTAATTTTCGATCAAAATGACTCATGTTGGATGAAAAATATTAGTTGACTAATAGTCAATGCATATTACTAACGTAATAATTTTACATGCGTTAAATTACTAATGTGTCACATGTAATGTCACTCAATGTGATGACGTGACATATATTACATCATCTAACATGATGATATTACATATGTAATATCACCTAAGATGATTATGTGACATGTGGCATATAATCAAAGATAATGATATGACATGTGGCACGTCAATTATTTAGCATGTGTGAAAATGTCACGACAATAACACGTGTTAACATTTAGTTAACTAATGATTTTTATCAAACACATATCATTTTGACAAAAAATTAAAACATTAAAAGTTAAAATACTCCAAAAATAAAGAACATGGACTAAAATGATCATTTAGATAAAGTTGGGGTTCGTTTTAATATTACACTTAAATTAAAATAAAGAGGACTAATGTGGTTAATAATACATCTTCACAATTTATTGGATAAACTAGATATTATTGGCGTAAGTGGTCCCAACCCAAGTCATGAAATTTTGTATCTAGTGGATAGGGGCTAGGCTAGAATGAAAAACTCTCCTTACACTCGACCTTCATAGGAGGGAAGCCATTGTCATTGTCAAATATTGTTATCATAAATAGTATCGTTTCACTGCTGTATAGAAAACCATACTTACCAACATAAAGTACATGAACTCGTCCCAACAAAGACACATTATGAAAAAACAACTCTCTTTAGAAAAGGTTCTTTATAACATCTGTTTTGATCTTACGTTATAAAATTACTGTTATTTTAATAAATAAAGATATTATATTTATAAATAATTTAAAAAGCAATGAACTTTTTGTAATAACAAATGAATTTTCAGTAAAGTGTACCGAAAAGATCGCATCACATCAACAATAACGGTGGCCATGAGCCATCGAGGGAGAGGAAAGGAGTTAAATTAGGCTGTCTCAATCTGTCGCCGTCTCGTTTACTCCGCCCGAATCGCCTACAGAGACAACAAATTATTAGCTACTATAACAAGACCTTCCGCGACACTGTCTAATTTATTACTGTTTAATTTCTTCTATTTAGTTATTATTCAGATAACTGATCCTAAACCTTAATTTCTTCTTTAATATACTAGACCGTTGTACTCGGTAGAAAGGTTCATTAACTGAAGTTTTTCCTGCTCCTATCGCTTCTGCATGTTTAACCTTATAAGAGACATCCGTAAAAATGCTCCACATTGAAATCTTTCACACACCCCTTTAATCTTCTCATTTTCTGGAAAAGCACTTGTACGGGAGTGCTTATTGAAAATATGTTTTCATCCTCTTGAAAATTTTCAAGTTTGTCCCCTTATAGAATTTTAGAAGTTTATCCTCATAATATAAAATTATGCGTCTATATCTGGTGGTTCTTTTCATGAAGAGCTCACAATTGATATAAAATCCGAATGAGAAGGTAAATGGGCGACATCAATATAATATTTAAATCACACGGATCAAACGATTTTAGGGCATTTCATAATTCGGAGGTCTCTTACGGAAGCTGCTCTCAACCTGGTGTTGCGGATAGCCTACTATCTTACCTCCCTCTTACCCCATACATATGGGAAAAAGGGATAGCCATTTTTATTGAGATATTTAATCTTGAGACATTACTCTAAATTATTTGATTGACCATTCTCGATCTAGCACCCTTTGATTTGAAAAGGACGGAATTGTTCTTGGCTGAATAGTTTATTGAAAATGTATTCAACACCTTCACCAACTATCCTTTTCCTCACTTTCTAATAATACAAGGATTAAATTGATTTGTTTATTTTGAGAGAGAGGCCATAATCTTATAGTATAAGGACCTCTTGAGCATCTATTCATTCATAATCTCTACTTTTTAACGAATGATTTTGTAGAAATTTTAATACTATATTTTTTTTGAAATTTCATTTTTCTTTAAGAAATTAAGGCTTGACAAAGGTTTTAATCGAGAGACGTAACTAACACTTAAGCCTAAACAACCGGAACCGTCCATTAACAAACCATCGAGTTTAAACTAGGAATGTGGGCCAATGGTCTCACGGATAGGAGAAATCACACGTCACAGCGTATTCTTTTTTCCAACCCAGGCATAACACCTCAACGCAGAAGCATTCGATAACCCCTTTCTGTCTCTACGTCGGCCGACGGATCTTTAGGGTTTCAATCTTCGACTTCGATCGAATCGCTAGGGCTTTGATTTTCGTCTTTCCTTTGGTTGTATATTGAATCGAATTACAAAATTCGAAAAACATGGTACTTTCTCAGAGGATTCATGAAGCATTCAAAGGAACTGTGGAGAGAATTACAGGCCCCCGAACCGTCTCTGCTTTTAAAGAGAAAGGAGTTCTGAGTGTCTCCGAGTTCATCCTGGCCGGTGATAATCTCGTCTCCAAATGCCCTACCTGGTCTTGGTATCTTTTCCATGCTATCAATATATGTGCTTTAGTTTGTAACTTATTTTTGATGGTTTTATATTTATCTGAATCAATCTTTATTTTCTTGTCGTATATCGATTATAACGGGTTAGTGTTTTGGGGTAAAATCGTAGTTTAGATTCATGAGTCATGGTATAACAATTTGATTCAGTGGATTGTTGTGAATGTTAGGGAATCGGGAGAGCCAAGCAAGAGGAAGTCCTATTTACCACCGGAAAAGCAATACTTGATTACAAGAAATGGTAAATTGACTACCATTTGTCTTGATTTTCTTTTCTTGTTTGGTCTATTGTTCTCCCTTTGAATTATAAATAATCATTAGTACTGGTAATACTATTTGATCATTTCGCGGTTAGTCCCTTGCCTAAGGAGGGCTGCATCGGTGGAAGAAGAATATGAGGCTGCTGGAGGAGAGGTTCTTCTTGATAATGAAGACAATGATGGTTGGTTGGCGACTCATGGGAAACCCAAAGGTATTATCTTCCTCTTTGAGATTGTACTTGTTTGGATTCTAAGATGGAAATTTGGGCTTTACACAACTCATCTTCTTGATAGATAGAAGTGATGTGGAGGAAAACCTGCCTTCAATGGAGACTCTAGAAATCAGACAGAACGAAACTGTAAGATCAATACCTTCATATTTTGGGAGTGGGGAAGATGAAGATGATATACCCGACATGGCTGATTATGAAGAAGCTGACAATCTTGTTGAGACTGATGCAGTAAGTGTTAAGAAATTTATTTGATTTCTGAGATTCAAAATCTATTTGGGCAACTGGTTTTTATTTTTGTTTCTCCTTTTCCATTTTGTAACCAATTGATGTAGATTAGCCTTGTATCGAAGTTCTAAGCTTATCAACCTATGTCCTGTACTATCTTAATATTACATATCTTGGTTAAGATGGGTGAGGGCGGGTGGGAGAAAATAGAGAGACAGAAAGGAACGATTATGTTGCGGTTAGGTGCAGGGATATTATAGATTTATGCTTAATAAACCTGTCCTTATGGATATTGATTCTAATTTCTTATTCCCTCCTTAGAGGTTCTAATGTTTGTGTTCTGAGATGATGTGTCTGACTCTGATCAATGCAGGCAACTTTGCAACCGACATATCTTGTTGCTCAAGAACCTGATGATGACAATATTTTACGGACCCGAACCTATGACGTCAGCATCACGTAAGGCAATTCTGGTGCCTACAAACTTCCTTATAATTTATTTTCAGAATATGCATTTTCATATGAAAACACAAACTTGCCGGACATTATCTTTTTTTAGGTATGATAAATACTATCAAACTCCTCGTGTGTGGCTTACTGGGTATGATGAGGTAGGTGTTGGAGGCTTCCTATTTATAATGATTTATATTTGTTGAATCAAATATCAAACTTATCAATTTGGCTGCAAATCATTGTCCTCGTCTGAAATCTGAATTTGGTCATAGTCGAGGATGCTTTTACAACCAGAGCTTGTTCTGGAGGATGTTAGTCAGGATCATGCACACAAAACGGTATGCCATATTCATTAATTTAGATTCTCTTTCTCATTCATTTTTAATGGGCAGGAGTATGGATTTTAATTTTCTCATCTCATTATTTTATCCGCATGCTCCTAAATGAATTTTGAATATGTCTTTTACTCTATCCCGAATTACCCGGGTTCAGGTTACTATTGAGGACCATCCTCATCTACCCGGGAAGCATGCATCTGTGCATCCATGCAGACATGGTGCCGTGATGAAAAAGATCATTGATGTGCTTATGTCACGTGGAGTAGAACCTGAAGTTGATAAGTAAGACTCTGGCCCCTCATTTACTACCAAATTGCTTTGAATCTACCCTTTTACCTTTTAGAAAACATCTATGCAGCACGATAACTATTTGCCACAATTTTCCTTTAGAAATAACAGTCAACATATTTCTCTTAATCCTCTTAAAAATGCTGTATGGATGTACTTTTTGATGGATTACTGCAACTAATTCAATTGTTGCTGTATAGCAGTTCTCTCAGTTTTGACATGGTGTGACATTTTCGTCATGAATTTTCAACTCAATTATTGCAGGTATCTTTTCTTGTTCTTGAAATTTGTAGCCTCTGTAATTCCAACAATTGAGTATGACTACACCATGGACTTTGATCTTGGCAGCACCAGCACCAGCACTTAATTAGAGGTAAACCATCAATAACTGAAGGCTTTCTTAGCTTTCGATCCAATTTATTGTTATTGAAATTTGTAGCCTCTGGAATTCCAACAAATGAGTATGGCTAAACCTTCATTTCTTTATCTTTTGGTGTACCACCTGAAACCTGCTTTGTAATATCCAAGCAAGGAATTATTATCCGTGACCCCCACACTTAATTCTGCAATGCTCAAAATTTTGGAAGTCCAGCAGTACCTAAGGGGTCTTGAGATTTTAAACCCAAAATTTTTATGAAGTATCTTTGTGTATGTACTATATATGTTCCTCATTCTTGCTACCTGACTCAGTTGAATCCTTCTTTTTATTGGAATCTATTCAATTTGCAGCTGGTTCTTTATCTGGTATACCTGTAATGCGGAAGCCACTGGTTGTAAATGTGTACCTAGTGCAGGGTAATAACCCTTCCTCGAATTCTTTGCTCGACTGAAATACAAGTTCTGATGATGTTTGCATTATAGTTTGTTGTTCATGTACCCTACTCAGTGCTACCGCACTTGTAAATGCAACCTCTGGTGGTATCAGACTGAAACAGAAATTTGTTTTCATCATTGTTATTGGGAATATTGTTTGTTCCACAAAAAGTATTTGATATCAATGTACGTGTCAAACTTATTCTGGAATTGTTGAGTATGAACCATTAGAAGTATGCATACACTCAAAGCTGAAAAGATTTCCAGAGGGTCTCACACTTAGCACGAATGTATTTTATTGACCAAGACATTAATAATTTCATCAAATCTCTGACTCGATACTTGTAATGCATTGACTGTAAATATAAATTCATCCCTTTTCCTAAAAGCCAAAACCCTATCCACCTGACTAGAAAACAAAGATATCAGACCCGCCGGTGCAGGTACCAGCCTTCGGGTTGGTTACTGGCTGCCGGGCACTCCCCTCATCATTTGCCCCCCCCCTCTGTTTTACTTTCCTTGTCACGTTCTTCTTTCACCTATCCCATCATTTCCTCCCTCCAAATCCGCCCGTCAACCTCTCTCGGCACTTCTCCATCCACAAACGTCCTCCCTTCCTGATGCAAACTACGTCCGCCATCCTCTTTCTTTTGTTGATTTTGCTTCTTTCTTTTTAAATGCTATTTTATACTTAGTGGGATGAGGTATTAGATTCCTTAAGCAATGTCAAGGGTTTGAATCTTGGTGTTTACGAATGGAGCAAACTGGGTTGAGAGAGTTGCCTCTGCCTTTGGATTAATCAATCAATAGATTGAATACCAGTAATTAATTCAATAATAGTAGTAATAATAATAATGATAGTGTGGTCCTTGAATTCATTTTACATCTAATATAATTCTTAAATTGCGGAAAAAATTAATTTGATTTTTTTATTAACATATTTGTTATAATATTGATGTGGTAGTCTATAGGAAAATATTAAATATAAAAAATTTAATGTATTTAAAAAATTATAAATTATAAATTGTAAAAATTTTAAATTAAATATAAAAAATTATATCACAAATTGTAAAATAATAAATAATAAATTATAATATATATAAATTTAATGTATTTAAAAATTATAAATTTTAGATATTTTTATTAAAAAAATATTAAATTATAACTCGTGAACTTAAGTCTATTATCATTTATTTAATCATATTTTTAATTGAAAACATAATAGTAATTTTTTTATATTTTATATTTTCCTAAATACTTTATATATAATAATAATAATAATAATAATTTAATCATTATATAGTCATACTCATACCATTCAAGTTATAAGATAAAATAAACATATTCAATCGCTTTAAAGAATTTTTATATATATTATTTAATATTATCTTTTTCATTTAAGCATATAAGTACGTGATACGTACATATATGTACATATAGCCATTTTAGCATATAATTCACATTTTACATGTTTACTTGTGTAAAAGCTTTTAGTCGAGAGTATTTGAAACATATTATTTAACTTAAACATCATATATAATACTATCAATCTATCATATATTATATATAATATCTAAGATTATTAATACCCAACAAAGAGATAATGATTTTAAAACCTTAAATGTGTATTAATATTATCTAAAAATATCGATATTGTATCTATGCAATATGAATATATAGAATGATATCGACATCAACCACCTAAAATAGTCAAATTATGCATGTGGTCTCTCACTTATGCACCCCACATGGCCTCTTAACTTACAATAATTATATGTCATTCTCGTTGTTGACCTTAAATATTGAAACATTCACATGTTAGTCACTAGGAATATAATGACGATTAATTAACTATCCGTTATTCTAATTAGGGTTAATTAAGTTGTTAATATTATTTAAGCAATCAATGTAATATCACCGATATGAGTATTGACTAGATTAAATTAAAGATATTACATAAAATGTTTAGAGGTCTAAATTTTAATTTCTTGATTGCACGATTCTAACATGTTTCCATAAAAATTAAGGTTCCTTTTAAGTGTTCCAGATGTATGAATCAAGTTTAGAAGTCATTTGAGTATGTTTGGAAGCCTTCAAAGTTGGTAGAATTATCTAAATAAGGCATACCATCTACAAGATAATGAATACCCTATACAAGAGTGCGGATACTTTTCCAAATAATATTATTTTAAATTTTCAGAAAGCAAATTGATGTCCGTATAGGATTAGATGTGCTTATAGAGCGAGTTGATCATAAGTTGGACAGTATTCAACTGGTGCTCGTTAAAAAATTTTGTTGCTCGACTCGTTGCTTAGAAATATATATATATATATATATATATATAAGTCAATTATTTTGGATGAAATAATGAAGAAATAGATACCAGTTCAAAAGAAATTGAAACTTGAGAGAATTCATCATATACATACATATAATTATAAAAAACAATATATGAATATGTAGAGAGAGAGAGAGAGAGAGAGAGAGTTAATAAGTTGCTGTTGGCATTATAACAATTAGAAAACAAAGTAAAGGTAACTTCCCAATGTGAATGGCATGTGGATTACAGGCTGCGAAGAAGAATGCCCTCAAATGTAATTCCAGGACCAAATGCCAAGGCAAGCCCCCATTCTTCCCCTCCCTCTCTCTTCAACTCTTCCCTCATGTATTCCATGACATAGAATATGGTATTGCTGCTCACATTTCCATAGTCCTTCAATGCTCTCCTGCTACATTCTAGCTTCCCCTCTTTCAGTTTCAGAGTATTCTCCAATCGGTTAAGTATTGCCGGTCCTCCAGGATGAACTGCCCAAAACAAGTCATTGAATTCTGTCAAACTAGCCTTTGACATGAGTTTCCTGCAGAATGCCTCGATGTTGTCTTCAATCTTTTGCGGAAGGTCTCTGCCAAGTTTGAAGTTTATGCCTTCTTCAGTAAGGCACCCGTCGACGGTGTGTTGTGTCCCTGGCAGAAACTGTTGGACTGCATAGCTGAGTTCCATGAAAGGAGATTCTTTGCCCTTTACTGGATCGGTTCCAATGATCACCGCTGCTGCTCCATCGCCAAAAAGTGCCGCACCAACAAGATCATAAGGGCGTGCTTTGTTTGGAGGTCGAAAACCAAGGATGGTAGTTTCTGAGGTAGTTAGCAGAATCCGACTTCCTGGGTTGTTTTCAGCTATGTCTTTGGCTACTCGAAGGCCAGTGGCACCACCATAACAACCAAGAAAGTAGAGCATTACCCGGTTAACATCATTTCTTAAGCCAAGTTCGCTAGCAAGGTAAAGATCACCCCCAGGTAAACGTATTTCACTGGAAGAAACATATATGATATGGGTGATATCAGTAGCAGGCCTCTCCCATTCCTTTATGCAAGTTAGGCTTGCTTGCAATGCCATCTCAACAACTGCCGGGTTTGCTATTTCAAGCCTTTGTTTGATTGTTGGTGAACCTTCAGTTGCCAGTTCTGGGTATTTATCTAAAATCTCCTTGCACATCACTGTGTACCTAGTCTTCACAGTAGTTGTTTTACCTACAAAAAAGAAACAAAAACCTAATTATATCATTTTCAAACAAGTAGTGCTAATCAATGCTCGTAGTTACAGAGGCTTGAAACAGAGAGTTTTGCTTACATAAACGTTCCAGTTTCTCTTTGATGGAGACATCCTGGCATTTTGTATCACGTATGTAGCTCTCCACCAAGTATTCTTGAGGAATGAGTTGACTCGGAAAGGCCTTGCCAATGGCAAGCACTGTTGCCTTCCCTGGAGTGGAAGCACGCTTGAGACGGTGCCATGGAGCATTGTTATTGTCAGTCTTTGACATCTCTAGCAGAGCTGGAAAGAAGATACTTATCTTTTGAAAAAGTTTAATAATGTAAGTATTTTTCAGGAGCAAAGAATATAAAGGAAAGGCTGGCTTGTTCTTGGAGAGAGTTTGGTTTCAAGAAAGCCTATCATGAAAAGGTGGCTTTCTAATATTTGGGGCAAAGGTTGTTAGAAGTCTGAAAGCTCCCAAGACAGCAATCTTCAACTTCTTTAGATCCACCTAACTAATTGTAATTTAAAACATCACTTGCTTTTGGCATGAGTAGAAAATATAGGATTTACAACTTAAATGTAAGGAAACCCTTCTTCATCCTCTTCTAATGAATAAAATAACAAAACGGAAATTTGGAAAAATCTACTTAACCACATCCCTCTCATTTTCTTCTTTTTACAATATTCTCAAATAAAGTATATCGGGATCGAATACTTACATGCACAATAAAATAAATAAACCACTAGTAGACTTGAATTTTAGCCCTTGAAGTCGGAAGACTTGACAACTTGGGAGAATCCTATCCTTCTTTGGTGTCTGGGAAGCTGCAGAAGAATAGATTCTCATAATAAGTGGATTTATATAAGATTTCAACTGCACGACACTGTTTCGTTGTTGGCTTCAATGATATGCCTGATTTCCTGCAACCTGATTCTCCTAGATTATAATTATGAATGAAATTTATGATGAATATAACAAGTTCACCTACAATGTATAAAAGGACTTATATTCTGGGATATTATCTATGAAATTTCGTAATTGTAAGGGAAAGATATTGGGAAAAGGCAATGAGCCCAGGCAGCAGGACTCTGTGTGTGAAACATAGGTCAAAATGTTAACATAATTATATCTTACAAAAACAACACAGCATCTTATGCAGCACGAGATAATACAGTTCATCATCTCGTTGAAACAAGGGATTAAGGTATCAACCCACCTTATGAGACATAACATAGCTGGAAGTGGTCCAATATTAGAGTTTTGAAGAACTAAGAAGTGAATCCTATCTTGAAGGTTCCACCTATTTCAATGTCAATACTTCAGATGAGCCAAAAAAAAAAATCCTTTGGTTAAGATACTTGGTCTACTTTTTGACACTGGAAAATGAATCAAATTATGAAGAAGTTCCAAAGGAATCATTGCGGCCGAAATTTTGGCATCCTGATGCTGAATTTTGGAGAAGCGTTGTTAACCTGCAACTGATTCGGCATTCTCTTTGATACAAACTCAGCTTCATCTAACCTTCCTCCCGCTTCTAATGCCATTTTCAAATTGTCAAGGCATCTCAACTGTTGATGTTTTCCCCTCTCCACCAGTTCATAGTACAAACCAAATGCTTCTGAAAGTCTCCTGTTGTTACAAAGATCTTCTATGACTTCGCAGCACATTTCAATATCAACAGTTTGGTGCTTTTCCAAACTAAATTGCATCATCTTGCACGCCTCTACAAGCTTTCCGCTCTGGCAAAGGAAATAAACCAAGTCTTCCATATCAACCATATAGCCATTATCATAGTAATACAAGAACTTGAAAAGCTTTATCCTGCATCCATCTTGAAAACAGCAACTTTACAGTCTCCGTCGAAAGAATGATATTCAGTCTAATTCTTGTGTCCAGCATTAGAGTTACCAAACTAGCTGCTTCTTGGGCGCAACTTTTTCAGAAGTTCTGCCAGTATAGCATGAACAGAAGATGTTTGAGGGAGATGCGAGCTCTTCAGCATCTTCTCTAGGGTCAGGTGGGCAAGAAGAGGTTCACCCTTCTGCAAGAGACCAGTAATCAGTGAATCATAGATCTCAAAACCAGGTTCAAAGTCTAATCTCAGCATCAACACCAAGAGCTCATATCCAGCTTTAAACAAGCCTTCCCTGCAGTGCCCTAAGATTAAAGTCTGATAAGCAGGAGGGTCTTGTCTTCCCCTTTTCAATAGCTGTCTAAACACTCTCTCAGCTTTCTTAGTTTTTCCATTACCACATAAATACTCAAACATGGGATTATAAGCCGCAACAATTGGCATACAACCTACATCACTTAATAGGATCTCCTTTTTGGCTAGATCATCAAAGAATTCCTCTGCCTTTTCAAAATCCCCAATTTGACACAAACTCCTAATTATAACACTATAAGTAGCTGAATCTGATTGTACTTCCAATTCTGACACCCTTTTGAACATATTCAAAGCTTCATCTATGTTCCCAGCGTCGCAGTGTGCATTTATTAGTGTGTTGAAAGTGCATGTATCCGGAGTAAATCTTCCATCTTCTCCCATTCCCTCCAAAATTTCTTTTATCTTATCAAACTTCTGCAGCACAGAGAGCCCTTTAATTAAAGTATTATAAGTAATCTTATTTGGTTTCAAGCCTTTAGAGATCATCTCTTGGAAAACAGCCAAAGCTTCATCAATATCTTGCTTCATACAATACCCTCTAACCAAAGTAGTATAAGTAACAACATTAGGATTCAAATCTAAACTTTTCTTGCTCATACCTATCACCACATTGTGGGCAACTCCAACCTTTCCCACCCTGCACAATCCATCAACGATCGTATTATAAGTAACAACATCAGGATCACATTTAAATCGCTCCATTTCCTTGAAAAACCTAAACCCCTCATCAACCATTGAATTCATGCAAAACCCGTTGATTAAAATGTTAAAAGTATACACATCCGGAGTAACCCCAAACGTGCTAAGCATTTCATCGAACACACTCTTTGCCATATTCGTGCGTCCTCTTTTAAGCAAAATAGACAAAAGATTATTGAATGAAACAACTGAAGGAGACACGCCAATGCTTTTCATTGTTTCAAAAACCTGGATAGACTCTTGAAACAACCCAGCTCTTCCGTAGCTCCTTATCAAGCTGTTAAAGAACTTGTCCTCGAGCATAACAGACCCATTAGACCTTTTCTCGATTGAAAGCAGTAAATTACGAGCTGCATTGAGATTTCTCCCTTTACCCAATATTTCAATCATCAAGAAAAATGATTGCGCATCGTGAGGGAAGCCCATTTTTTGAACCCAGTTGAAGAATTGAAGAGTTTTAGAAGGGTTTTTAATGAGGCGGAGTGTTTGCAAAACGGTGGTTTTGGAAAGAGAGGGAGATAGAGATGAAATAGAGGATTCAAGCTCACTTGACCATGGCGTGGAGTTGATGACACGAGCCATAACTTTTGCCCCCTTGGTTTTGGTGGATGATTTCGCTTCATCACCCACCAATCCCTGATTTACTTCATGGCTGCCATCATCGCCATGGATATTGATTCGACGAGAGGAGAAGCACCTATTTTTTGTTTGAAATGAGAAGAGATTATGAAGAAGCCAAAAGAAATGGAAGGAAATAGAAGGAAAAGTGAGACCTACCGGAGAACAAAACCAAGCGGAGACTGGTAGAGAAAGACTTGCTTGCCGGCCCGATAGTGAGAACGAGGATTAAGCGCCACTTCCATGAACATAAATATTACCATAATACATAATTTATTTCATCAGTTAGCTGATTTTCACTTCGTATAGAAGTAATTAAACCAAGAGGTCCAAGACAGGAACAGCCGTCGGCTGATAAGTGAAGAACAGTGTTAGTAGTAAAAGAAAGGGTAAACTATAGGGAAAGTTCCTATTTTTATTATCCGATCGATTTTAGTCGCTAATTCAAAGAAAAATGATTTTGATTCCATAAGTTATTATTCCGGTTGATTTTAATATTTCGACTGTTATTCTTATTAACTCATTAATAAAAGTGTTATGTGACAATAAAAAAAAAAGATATTTCTTCTTCTTCTTTGGTCAATCCATGCTCATTTTTCTGAGTTATAAATTAAGGTTCCTTTAATAATCATACATTCAAGTTAACCATTACAGAATGAGTATACCAGAAATAGCAAACAACAAAAGAGGTATAAGCCTTTCATTTATTTTAGCAACATGATTAAAGCAACAGCGATATTAAAATATATAAACATTTGATTGTTCTTGAGAGACAAATTCAAGATAGAAGCAAGCATGAGAACAATGTCATCAAAGCATACTCATTGAATCTGAAACCAATTCCAAGATCATAACACTACTCGCACAAAAAATACCAACATTATCAATTCCAAGATCATTGAATCTGAAAATATATTTTTTTTAATTTTTAATGATCAATTTCCCTTACATTCTATGCAGGTTATGGAGGATCCTGGTGTCCCCAGTCCAAGTGACCCCAACCTCAGGGAATACTTGCACCGATCTCTCTCTCTTTTATATGCATATGTATGTACGTAGAAGTAGAGCAATGATAATGAGAAAAGAAGGCAAACATAAATACTTAAAATGTCGAGTTTTGGTACTTTGCATGTATTTGAAAAACCTCAAGAAAATGCACTTCACATTCTAACCAAAGCCTTTAATAAGTTGCAGCTTCGGTTGGTAACTGATATTCTAACAACTGATGCAAGCTTTGGTTACTACCCTCTTTGCAGCTTTTATTAATATTTTATTACATAACATATATATAAATGTGCATGCATATTTTTTTCTTTGGTTTAAAATTCATCAAACTCTATATTAGTGATATAAAAGAAGTTCATAACAGCGGACCAAGCTTCCTCACTTGTCTGCTCAGGTTTATAGAAGAGGAGGAAGAAGAAGACACGTGTTTTTTTTTGTTTTTTTTAATTTCCACGTATCACTTCCGATAATGAGTTAACAGGAGCTAAAGACCGAGGGACTAAAATCAAATGAATCGATAACGTAAGAGATCAAAAATCATTTTTTTGAACTGGTGACCAAAACCGATAGAATCGAAAATAAGGGATTGTATGTATAGTTTACCCTGAAAAGAAATTTTGGAGCACTCCGTGTAGGAGGTGTATCCAATTTACATGCTATTCAAGGAAAAAAAGTAAATTACAAAATTTAGTTTCTCCTGTTTTACTCGTTATATTTTCAATTTTTTTAATTCAATAGCGGAACTCCATTCATTGGTTTCTTTTTGTTACCAACGTCTCATATTTTATTAACATTTTAATACCACGTATAATTATAATAAAAAAGTAGAATTAAACCCTAAACTCCAAATTATACCTCAAAACTCTAAATCTCAAATTACAACTCTCACCCTTCCACCGATGAACGGTGGCTCACCGAGCTTCAAACTTAACTGAGGAACGGGCTGACCATATGCTGAAGATATCAATGAATTTTAACCATAACAAAGATTTGACCAGCCAATGGCATTCATTGTTTGCATCAGAAATGCATGTTGAATTCACAGGGCAACGACACTATAATTCAAAGGGCATTCATTGTTTGCTTTAAAAATGCATGTTGAATTTAAAAATTCCAAATTATGAAACAGTGCAGCAATCAAGGAGAGCAATCAAAAGCATCGAATGAAGAAAGGAAAAAAAGAGAAGGACGAAGTCCGAACAAGGAGCACAATACATTCTCGGGTACCCGTCCCACAGGTGTGGCCGTTGATGAACCACCATCCGCCGGTGGGAGGATGAGGCTATCATGGGTGAGGGTAGGGTAGGGGGTATAATTTGGGATTTAGGGTTTGGGGTATAATTTGGGGTTTAGGGTTTAGATCTAAATTTTGTGAGTATAATTTAAAATTTAGAATTTTATTTTTATTATAATCTTATGTGATATTAAAATATTTATAAAATATGACACATCATATAAAAATAATGATAAAATAATTATTGTTACTGTTTAGTGACAAAAAAAATCAATGTATAAAATTTAGTTATTAATATTGAAAAAACTGAAAAGATAGTGAGTAAAATAAGAGAAATAGTAAAGTTCAATTATTAAATTTGTAATTTAGCCCAAAAAAACCTTCCCCGTCAACTTATATTGTTAGATAAAATATTAGATTTGAGAAATAAAAATATAATAAAATAATAATAAATACTGAATCGAAAAAATAAGGACAAAGTAAAAATCGTTTACTCATCGGTAGTCATAGAATCAAACTAAAAGAGTCATTGAAGTCTGTATACAAATTTTATTTAAGATAGATTCGTCCGCTCCTACGGTGTTGGGGAATATTGGTCGACTAATACAAGTATATCAATAGTACGTTTGAAAGAAGAAGAAGAAATTTGTGTTCACACTGTTTAAATATGAGATTCATATTGAATAATTGTCTGAAAGTTTGATTAATGAAGTAGTAAATATTCGAGAATTAAGGAGTCAATGTGTATATTCTCATTTGAGAAATATTTCGTGTCGCTCACATCTTGCGAGGGCACCCTAACCTCATCAAGCTCAGATTGAAATCAATTTGCTCCTTCCACCTATGCCTGCATGCAAGGTAAAGTCTTATCTTGTACATTCCACACTTGGTATCCCATCAATGTCAGATATAAGTTTTTAATTTTTTTCTCAATATAATTCATAAATAACTTACTTTGAGTATTAATTTCTCATCCATCATTCAATCATTTTTAGCATAGAATTTATCACTCAACCATTTTAAGTATATAATATATCGTTGTAATAAAGATTACATAAAATAGAATATAAAACTATGATTTTTTATTATAATCTTCACATTTACCTATTAAAAAATATACCTTATAATTATAAAAATCTATTTTTCCAACAAAGTCAGCCCAAAATAAATTTAATAAAGCTTAATTCAATATATCAAGTTTTCGAGAAATACCTAAAAACACAAATTATAAATTAAATGAAAAAAACTTAGAAGACTATATAAATAATAAACTTCTTTTTAGAAAAAGAAATGCATCCTTATTCACCCCTCCGGATTTTGCTCTTCTAAAACCATAAGCATAATTATTTTAGTTTCTCACTATTTCTTACTTTTTCTATTCTGAATTATCTCATTTTTATTATATAACTTTTATATATAACGAGAGAGATATTATCGATTCATATAATGTAAATATTTTAAGTTTACACTTTTTAAAAATAATTGGGTAAATAAAAATAGATTGTTGAGATTAACGATTAAAAAAGACAAGAATTTTATAATAAAAAAAGTTGATTATCCCCAATTTAAATTTTTTTAATCTTAACCATTAAAAATTTTAATATTAACCAAATAACCTCAATAGTTAAGAGATTTATTGTTCTCTTTTTAGGTCTTGGGTTTGAGCATTATATATTTAAGGGTACGAGTGTTTATTTATATATAGATTAGGATCCAATTATACCTGTGATAAAATTTAAAGTTTTCCACTTTTTATGATCGTGGACAAGAAAAATTAAAAAGAAAATAGAAACAATGATTTTTTACCGAACAACTTTGGTTTTTTTTTACCCTGACAACTTCGTTTTTGTTCAAACCATACTGGATTTTGGAACCAAAGGAATTTAACATATGAATATCCCAGAACCGAAATATGATAGACGTGCTCACATGCAATCCTAGGAACAACCTTGTTTTTAAAATTAAATCGATGAAAACAAATTAAGAAGCATCTTTTGAGATAAGCCACATAGCAATCAAGATTCGACAGTTGCATGTTAATCTTCAATTCAAAGTTCCCAGAATTGGAACGGTTTGCTTGTAAGTAGGACAATGGAAGGTGGGAGAGAGAGAGCTAGTGAAAGCAGCTGCGACCATGTGATTACAATTCATGATTGATTGTTTGGAAAGAAAGAAAAAAAGTATATCCACAATAGAATAATCCAGTCATGATTGTTTCATTAATGGTAACTTTCCCTTCTTCAAAACAGGAAACTCACATGATGAGAGTCAGACCAAACCTCATGGAAGAGAAGGTACAAAGAAGAAAAAGAAAATATGGGTTCGTTTATAGGTTTCTCATAATACAGTGCAAGGAACCTTATCAGCTTAATTTGTTTTGTACTTGAGGGGGGTTTGATACTACAACAATGCAGTACAATACAAATAGTAAGAAATATAAACACCAAATGACTTAAATGAAGGGCATAGGTGCTCCAATTTACTCAAATAAATTCTCACTGTCCTTTTCCTGTCCCTGCTAGCTAGTCTAGTTCAAGGAAAGCTGTTTTGACAATTCCTTCCTTTCAAAAAAGAAGAAAAAAAATATCCATAATAATGGAGGGCCTAGCCATTAAAGTCTTTCAATGAATCTGTAGTACTTTTGCAGCTTTTGGTACTATGAATTCTTTGGCCATGGGACAACCATTTAAGTGCATTCAATTCTCCTTAACAGACAACAAATTAGGAAAAAGAAATGAAGGTGCTGCATCTCATCACAATTAACCCTTATTGCCTTGAAATAAACCCTAGCTATATTATCTAGATAAAGATAAACACTCGGATCAGTTGCACATCCAAAGCATCTGTTAGGTGGTTCTCTGAGCATTCAGTCTTTATTATGATTAGCTGATCCAACATTTTCATGTACAAAAAAACTATATCTCGTCATTCATGCATACATAATCTTACAAACTTTAGCCCTTAATATAAGCACCGGAGACAAACGGATAGAAGCTTGAAAGGAAAACAGTGGATAACACGACTTTTAAACATGTTTTGCTACTGTGAAACACACGATGGTTTCTTGACATAAACCATTTATTTTAATTATTTTTCAAGTGTTTTTAACTCATCACATCCTTGAGAAGCTTGTACCTGCGTGTCGTAGGCCTTGGAGAAGGGGTTCCACTGCTCTTTCCTTTGTGATCGCCACTCTCTTGCTTGATTTTGTCACCAGAATACTCCGATCGATTCATAATTCCAGCTTCGTTACAGACTGATGATTTCTTTGAAGAGCTTCCTTGCTTTGGGTTTCTTTCTTCTCTCTGGCACCAATCACACAGTTCAACCGGTTCCGCGAACTCGCTGTAGTAGTTACTGCAATACCTACAAAAATTAATCAAAAAATCGTTCAAGTTTCAACCCATGAAATATGGGGGGGGCACATATATATGGTTATACATACATAGTGATGATGAACTAAGGGTAGCTAACATTCCCCATCGTAATGATGATGATGTGATATATGCATATGAGTGTATACATAGAGATGGATGGATTATGATGGTGAAAAAGATAAAGATCCATACGAGTGTTGAAACCGGTGGAGGCATTTGTTGCAGCGGAAGAGCTTTTCAGGGAAACCGACGTCACCGCACATGCAGCAAACAGGTTGAATATCCACCATTATTGACGGCGTTGGATTCTGGAGAAAGGAAGAAGATTTGGTCGATGAGAGAAAAAAGGCACAAGAAAGAAAGAGAACTAGGAGAGAAGCACATGTATATTTTAAGAGTGATGGATTGAATTTCAGAGTCGGTGTAGAAACACATTATTCTTCTTTTATATAGAGATAATAAATTAGTATTTTTAGAGGTAGACCACAAGTTGCTTGCAGTTGTTTTCAGTTAGAGAGATTAAAATGACAGTTATGACCTGTGTGGGCCGTAATCCACTATTCTTTTTCCTCATCTTTTGTCCTCTTCTGGTTTGGCTGTTTCTACGACTGTATATAAATAAATCTAATCGTTGGTTTATGTTTGTTAATTAAATTAAATAAATGAATATAAATATTTTTTATGTTTATTTAATAAATTAATAAACACAAATATAAGTGTGTTCTATTTGTTTATGTTCATAAATAAACTCTTTTATTGGCTTATTTATCGACTTATTTATAAGTTTATTTACTCAATTATTTTCTCTCTCTCTTTTATTTTAAATATTAGTAAAGATATGAACTATATTAAATATAATATGAATTTTGGAGTTCAAAATGTAAAGTCTAAAAAAATTAAGGACTAGTGACATAATTTTATCATTTTTCCTTTGACTTGCAAATAAATAAAAATAGAGTGTTGGTTGTGGAACATTAAACGAACATTAAATGAGTATATTCATGAACGTTAAACGAATACGTTCACGAACGTTAAACGAACGAACACAAACACATCCAAAAATAAAATATGTTCAAATAAATAAACGAACATGAATATGATACTAAACATGAAACGAACATAAATACCTTCGAAAAACAAAAACAAACCAACACAAAATAATTTTAATCGTTCAAAATCAGCTCATTTACACCCCTTCTTTGCTCCTTTTCTATTCGGTCTCTCCCACCGACCACCGTTATTACAAAAATTCTGAGTGTATATTTGTATAAGGTTGTTTTGACTTGTAAAATGGGATGTCACATAGAGATCGTGGAAAGGAAGAAGGGGTAGATTTTGGAGGACAAACGCACGGCGATAAAAGCGGTGAATGGTAAGTAAATTAAAACAACGGTGTAAATTACAAGTTGTAGTAGTGATTTTAACGAGAATTTGTCAAGAGTATTTTAGACCGTGACCTCACCAATAAAACAATCACATCCTATTTATAGTTAAGGATTGACATGGGTCGGGTTTGGGTTGGGTTTCGGCTAAACTGACCCGACCTAAAAAATATATACCGTCCATCCGATTCGAATCGACCTAACTTTTTGAGATAAAATCCGAATTATGTCTTATCCGACCCAAAATAATAAAAATATTATTTTTATTCAATAAAGATAGTGATTTAATTGAAAAAAATAATATATAAAGGGGTATTATTATAATTATTTCTAAATATATAAGGTAAAATTATATTTTTTGAGTCGGGTCGGGTATTTTTCACCCTAAACCCAAAACCAAACATCACCTTTTAAAAACCGACCCGACCGAATCCAATTAAAAAAAATCCGACCCGATCCTATTAGATCGGAACCTGTCGGGTTCAGATCTCATGTTCATCCCTATTTATAGCCGGTTTAAAGAACATACGACAATCATCATATATTACAAACGAGGGACTTGTGTAAACATGATTAACGAGATTGGAATTATTTGATTAGAAAGACTTGTAAGTCTAAGTCTAAGTACGTACGCCTCTTATTTGATTAGAAAGGGTAAACACTTGTATTCCAAGAAAATAAAAATAAAAAACAATATCTTTTTACAATATTTATATTTTAAGTCTCCAAGTCATACTATGTATGACATCTTAAAAACAGAGTAAATTAAAAATTCTGCCAATTTTTTCTAACACTAAATGTATCATGTTTAATATTTTATCCACAACACTCAATATGTCATGTCCAAAGTTTATGCCCGACACTCATATTGTATTGACTAAAATTTGTCCATCAACATGTCGTGTCCAAATTTTTATCTATAATACGAAATGTGTTGTGTCTAGTACTTTATCCACAACACTTTCAAAATATGTTGTAATCAAAGCTTATCCATAAATTACAATGTATTGTGTCCAAAATTTATCCACAACACTCAACTCATCATATCCATTATTTTATTTATGACACCTTAATTATGACGTGTCCAAATAATATTATCAAAAATATATATCAACAATATTCAATGTACTTTATACACCGGATGATGACATCATAAAAGTAAATTTTTTAAATTTAATTCACTTATAATCTATAACATTATACACTTTTAATACATAAAATATAAATTTTTTAAAACTAGTTTATATTAGTATATTGATAATATATAATATTAAACGTTGTCAATTAATTAATAATACATTGAGATTTTACTAAATAAATATATAAAATTATAATTCAATTGTTTTTATTATCGTATTTATAAATAATATAAAGTTATATACTAAGACCGACTATAAAAACATTAAGAGTAATCATTAAACTATTCCAAAATAAATTATTAGGTACTTAATCTTTTAAAGTAATAAAATAGATATTGAATTCTGTTACAAAATGGATGTATTGTAGTTGCAGTTAGTTAATGTTACGACACATTCAAAGTAATGGATAATATCTTATTTGATCTTTAAGTTTTAATTATAATTTTATTTTAGTATTTTTTTAATATTTTTAAACAAACATTCTAAAAATCTAAAAAAAAGAAATATATGAAAGTACATACTTTATTTTAAAACTATAAAATTATTTTTTTTTAAATTATAATTTCAAGAAAATCTTTTACAAATCATAAAATTTTAATAATATGTTTTGTTACAACTCAAAAAGTAATACAAATTACAATTCAAAAACTAATACAAATTTGAGTAACCTTGTATAAGTTACACTTAAAAATAACAAATTTAATTAATAATGAAGGATTTAGTTTGATAAAAATTATTAAATCAATTTATTTATTAAAATTAATTCAGATTTGATTTAATAATAAAGATGATTCTTAAAAATTTAAAACTAACGCAAGTCTATATAGGTAGAAAATTCAGTCTTCCACCCGTTGAAACCGGCGATCTCAATGTTGCCGTAGTTCTGTTTGAAGGATCATACACTTTCATCAAGTTGTTCCCATGCCAGATGATATATTCCAACTAGGGGTGTACATTTTCAGATATTAGATATTATCTAATCCTAAAATTCGAATCACTAAAATTATAATTCATATCCGATAAAAAAATCGATTATTCGAATCGGATATTCACATATTCGGAACCGCAAATAAAACTTAAACTCCCAGACCCAGTATTCTTCACATATCTACAGAAAAATGCAGAAAACCGAGCCCAAGTCCATTTCTTCGTCAATAAAATCCAGTCTCCATCCATGTTTACCACTCTATTAATAACATACATTATTTATTACAAAGTTTATAACTTCGTCATACGATAACATGGGAGTATATTATTTTATGCACTCAGCAGTTTAGTATAATTTTTATGGTTATAGCCACATGGCTATGCACGTGCCGTTGGTTTGGGATCACCAAAGTTTATGTCTCGTGCTTCCGCCGTACTTCTTATACCAATCTTACCACTACTCTCATCATTTTCTCTCATCTTTTGCTCATCTGTCTATCCCTAGCCTCTCAATCTTTTATTCTATTATGGGATAAACCAATTTTAATTCCTTAGGTTACTCCTTTAAACTTGACAATATTTTAATTTAATCAAATTTTATTTTAATTCATATTAATTTTTTAATTTGATGATATGATATTTTAGTATTACGTTTGTTGACTAATAAAGTTGACAACTCCGTAGATGGTGGTCGAATGATTACTCTGATAGTATGGGTATGGTTTTTTTTGTGGAGAAGAAGTGTGTATCTTCCCTTGCTCTATGTTGCATGATTATTTATAATGTCATTGACGAATGTTGAACAAGAGTTACTGTGACATTAGTATTGATTGGACGTCTTAAGAAGTGATGATTTAAACTAGTTCGTCATCAAATAAGACCACATGTATCAAAGCCCGGTCATTGATGATCACACGCGGTATGTATTCACGGGGATCATAGGTGGTTGATACGTGGTTATTGCTGGTCGTTCATGGGATATGCTCTTTATATCTGGAAGTACGCATAGATCGTATGTTCGCATATCTGGAGGTTTGCATGAGTCGTGTGTTCGCATACTTAAAAATTCATGGGACTAGAAATTCGCAGATAGCAATAACACTATATCAGTAAAACGACTAAAAAGAAGGTGAAAAAATAAGTTTAAAGTTCAATGTGAACTAAAAAGATAAGAATTAGATTAAAAAAATCTCAAAATTTAAGGACTAAAAATTATTTTATCCCTCCTATTAAGTACTACTTAGTAATTTTCTCTCCTATAATTGCCATTCCCAAGAACAAATAAAAGAGGAAGTAAGATGAAGAAATGGCAGTTGTCGGTGATAGTATTAGGTTAAAAAAATCTCTTCTTCTCCCTCCGGTGTTTAAGAATGGTGGGTGTGGGGCACAATAAAATCACAGTCAACTTCATTGCATCACCATGCAGTGCCTGCCAGCCTCCATACATATATATCTCTTCAGCATGAAGCAAGCCATTTACTTATGTTAGTTTTCATGTAAATCTAGAAACTGTGAATAATATATATGTCCACCAAGTTGCATCCACTCTTTTTTTTTTTCTTCTCTTCCATAGCTTTGTCTACTTTTAAAAGCTTAAAAAATTCAGAGTAGTTGCAGAATGAAAGAACAACTCTGACTACTAACGTTGAAAGGACAATGTGTTTGAGTAAATGTTAGTGATACAATGTTTGTTTTTATAACCTAAATGAAAAGGTAGACGTCGGGATATTTTTTATATATAAAATAGTACCTATTAAAAAAATCAAATCATTGATAACTTACATATATTTTGTAGATTAAACTTATAATATCTAGAAAAAATAACATCTTTTTAACTACTGAAACCGCTCAATAAATTCTGTACACCTGGATAATAGGTTTAGGTCTACTTTATTTACGATTAATGGCTGTTACTAGTTT